AAACCAAAGTTGTCCATCTCAATCTACAACATCTCAACCCTTTTATGAAAATCTTCCATATTGACTTAGTGTCATAAAGAAGTGACTGATTTCTTTTTATTTGATATTTTAAGTTATTATTAAGTTTTATATTTTATTCAAATGTTGAATGTGTGAACTTGTTGTAATTAGTGTACATATCAGTTCACACCATTTACCTATAAGTATTTAAATTCCTAACAGTACTTGTTTTTAAATTTTTTATCTTGATATTATAAACTATATTGTTTGATTAAATTTCTTATTTAACTTAAAACATTTTAGTCTGTTTTCACTTTTTAAATTTAATAAACCCTGAGCGAATTGAACTGCAACGTGGGATTTATTTTAATTTTCATGTGACTCTGTTTTTGGGTAAATATAAGTTTATATTTTGAAAAAATAATTAATACTTAAATAAATACCTTAAAGTTACTGCAAGTTTTTCCTTTGGTGTTATAGGAAACTTCACAGTAGTTGTTGGCGCTTTAAAAATATATTGTGCGATGGCAGATAAAACATAATCAAATTGACATTTTGTCAACCTAAAATAGTTTTGAAATTTACATTCATCATCGATGAGGTGTTTCATAACCAAATTTTCAAATGTTCCTTCATTACGCCTTTCTGTAAACATATTGTGTACTTTTGTCCTCTTATTTTTTTTCGTGAACTGCACATCTATGATTTGTTCATTTCGTTATTTTTCTTCAAGAATATGCAGTAGAACAATCCTGGTAACGTCATCCATGGTTGAAAGTTTAACTGCTTAGGAAATAAATTTTTTATTTACTGCATGCAGTCAACTGCATAAACAAAACCAGTGCTACTACATGCGACGGACGCAACAGCGACTGCATGACTGCATGCGGTCACTGCTGCAGTCAACTGCAGAAACGAAACCGTACCTTATGTCTTCCCCACGCCCATCACTGCAGTATCCCGTAAACACACACGACAACTGGTCGTTATCTTGGGGGTCACAATACATAAAGTACTATATTACACTCAATCAATATCGAATAATTTTTAACTATTTATAAAATTTCCACTTGTAAATAAAAATGTAACATTGAAGCAATGAATTTACCAAGTTCACACTTCAATCATGATTTTTTAAATATTTTTTACATAACCCGGCGGCCAAACCACCCGTCTGAACAGGTCTATTGGAAAAGCATTGTTTAATTTTAGTGAGCGGTAGCGGTTGACCGCTCGAAAATTAAACAAGAGCGGTCGCAGGCGGCTGACCGTGCCGATCAGCGGCGCGGTTTTTCCCGTATGAATATGTCAATTGAATAACCCGTGTTTAATTGTCAGCGGTTATCCGCCGCGGATAAAAACCGCGACCGCGCGCTGCCAAACCGCTCCGTGTGTAACCAGCTGGCTACCTAACTATTTAACTATAACGTCTATAACCCTATATTATTTTATTCACCAAGAACCTATTATGTTATTGAAAATTAGTTCATTCATTTTAATTTTGTGTTTAGGTATTTAACCGTTTTAATTATTTTTACTTTGTTCAGTGTCGCGGGAATTTGAATTATAATTTAAGAGAACGTTTTATGCTAAAAAATATTATGTATTTAACTTTTAAGCTGGGGACGAATTGTTCGTGTATACAATTATGACGGGGACCAATTGTCCGCATGCTGAGTTTTTTTCGCGGGATCTGATTATCCTAGATCCGTTTTATTACACATGTAAAAGAATAGCCTAGGTTGAACATTTAAATGATTAAAAAATCAGTATATAATAAAAGTCGCTTCTCCTTCCATACCCCTACTCGTAACTCCCGGTCTAAAACACTTTTTATCTAAACACAGAAGTAACTAATTATGCAAGCAATACTCCCCATCATAGAATTATGAAAACTATAAATAAATTAAATATTGATCTGTTCATATCACCAAACTTCTACTCATTCAAAAATTATTGTAATTTCTTACTTCGTAATTCATAGCTATAAGTATATTAAATAATAATTAATATTGTACTTTATCGTTTTTCTCTTTAATTATTCTGTTTTTGTATATTATTTTAACGATCGATTGTTTTTATTATTATCATGTATGTAATTGGACCTGGCCCGTTTAAAATTTTAATTAATTAATTAATTTTTTTGTTGTAGACAATGGCTATACACAGAAGCTCATATGGCTGAAGCGCACACATGCTAGATGCAGCCGATTATTATTACACAAATGCAATATTACCAACAGTATTGCCTTACGTTAAACCCCACATTACAGGGATGATAGAACTTGTACCAACTGAAAAGCATGACGTCAAGATTTGGGAAACACAACAGCAGTATTATGAATATTCGGTAAGTGATGAATCACTATTTACTTACGCAAGGAACGCCAGGTTTAGAAGGTCTACCTATGACGAGTTGTCCATCGTAGCAAAACGAAAAATAAACGAAGGTATGTTGTTTGAATTCCTAATAACACTATTTTGCGCCTATGCTGATTACTTTATTCTGCCATGATAACTATCTTGTAACTTTTGATACAGGTGATAAAATAAATGGATTGGTAGGTGCAACATATCGCATAGAGAAACAATATGTCATCAAAGGTCAAAATGACTTCTCCTTTATATACAGTGACCGTGCCAAGAGTGATATGTTGTTCCAAGGGCAAGCGGCATTCTGTAACCATGCCTGTTTACCGAACGCGAAATTTAAATGCATAAATAAAAAGAAAACTGGTGTGGTAGAAATTCAAAACATTCACCCTGGAGAGGAGATTTCCGTGTTTTACGGCAAAAATTACTTCGAAAACAACAACGAGCGGTGTAATTGTGTGACTTGCTTTGAAACCAGACGTAAGTTTTCTGCATTTGTATAATGTCATATGCACCTAATTTATTATTATTTTTTTTTTTTACATTTCAGAAGAAAATTCCACATACTCAAACGACAACCATGCAATACATGATAGTGTAGTAGTATATATTTGTATGTTCTGCGTCCATTTTTACAGGGGAAAAAAAAAAGTTCAAGGGGGAAAGTCTCCCTTACAGTACTTTTGACCACCGCGTAGCCAAAATCTCAAAAACCCTAATGTATGTTCTGCGTCCATTTTTACAGGGGGAAAAAAAAATATACTAGTGGTTACACTGAACTTTTTTATTCAGTTCTACTAAAATTAATTATTTAAAAAAAATAACACAAAGTTGGTTACACTATATTTTATAAAATGTTTTCATTTTAATAGTCGATTATTTTTTTTATTATTATGTTCAGTTACTAGTGATTAGCTGTTTGACGAAGTTGTATTTCATTCTCTTCAATTTTCTCATAATTTCATTAAATTTGTTTTCAAGTTATTATAAATTTTTTCAAAAATGAATTTTCAAAAATGTACAAACGATGTCCAGTCATTGGTTAACCAAATACCGTTCAATTCAACACCAGCATACCCAGAATTCTCCACGTTTTCCTCGAGATTAAAAACGTTCAAAACATTTCCATCAAATAGTACACAGAACAAATATAAATTGGCCGAGTCTGGGTTTAAGTATATAAGTGTCGATGACGCAGTTGAATGTCATTGGTGTTCAATAATTTTGCATGCCTTTGAATTCGGAGACGACATATTTCTTGAACATACACGGTTCTCACCAAAATGTATATTTGTATTATTAACGAAGGGAAATCAGTATGTGCAAAAAGTGTTAAGTAAATATTGTAAAATCGAAGTTATTTGTAATTGTGTAACCGATTCATACGATACCATTTGTTAAATCATGTTTTTATGTACTGTTTTATAATATATGATGTAATAAATAATAATAAATATTGAATTTTAAAAAATCAACTTATATATGCTAGTTTTGAATTTAATATCTCGTGGACGTATGGTTTAGTGGTTTAGTGCTTATAATTTAAATGTTTTTCAGGTTAGTAAGTATAATGTGTAATTCTCCCCTCCTAGTATGCACTAATCCACTAAGCTGTACGTTCACATTTTTTTGCATTTTTTTTTTATCTAAGAGTGTAGTATATAATATGTTTACAAAGGAAAAAACTCTCAGTTCAATGTATGACTCCATCAGTTATATCTAACTTTATATTTGTGTTAGACGTGAAAAAATCAAAATAAATATTTTAACTATTAAAATAAAGTTATCAAAATAATTCCACTATGAGTTCACCGATAATTGTCTGCAAGTCTACTTTTGACATCCGTGCTTACAACAAGAAAAATATTACAGTTGGATTATTAATTAATAAGCAGATTTCAATTATTATAATTCTAGAATGTAAAATAACTAAAAAGAGTTTAAACCTTGATCTAGACCAATGGCTTTCATTAATGTGTGAAAATAATTATACATCAATTATTAATAATCTACAAAAACGATGTAAACGAGTAAGAATAACTGATAACTTAAGTTATTCTGTTAATGTGAAACAGTCTTCAATTATATTGCATTCTAATCAAAATGATATAACATTCACCCTTGTAGACCTGCAAAGGTTGAAACAAATTCAACAGTGTATTGAATTATATATTATTGAAAAACAGAAAAAATTGCAATCTTATCAGAAGACCTATGACACAGCATATTCATTAATTTCAGCAGATGTTAACGGGTTACCCTCTTCTTGTCGACGGAATGAATTTACAAATCAATATATTCAGAATTATGACTTAAGTTATAGTAATATGGAGTCTAACGATATTTCTTTTATACATGAATTATTACAGTTTCATTATAACTCACTATCAGACATGATATTACAAGACTTAGCAGTCTAATTTTTTTTAATTATTTGTTAACCCATAATTTATATTATTTTTTACGTTTCATGATACTAAATAATGCATGTACACAACTTTTTAAAATAAATGTATGATTAATTTTTTTTTTCACATAAATAAATAAAATGCCATGTATAAGTATATAATTGATTTACAATATAATAATAACAGATAATTAATTCATATATAATGTGAGTGATGTATACATATGTTTCATAACACAAGTATATTAAAACTAAACATTTTTTATTTTGCATAGTACCTATTATATATTCATATTTTTTCTACAGTCATTAATAAATATATTAATTAATTCTTTGATAATTTAGATCTTATTATCTTCCTCTTAGGATCAGACATAAAGCGTGTAAATATTGTTTGTACGACCTCTGATAAATTATTCTTAAGCTCTTGATCTTTTTCTTCATCGGTTATCGTTACTTTAAGACTACATTCAGCTTCTTTCCATCTATAAAAAATTACATAAAAAATTTTAATATTATAAAAAAAATAAATAAATGTATTACAATTATTTTATATTAGGGAGATCAGGGTAAAGCGGATAGGTGGACAAAGTGAATAATGTTAATAACTTTTTGAATATTGATGATTAAATAATAATAATAATAATGTTCATATAAGTTGTCAGCAATGTGTATCATCTTTGGAGGGATAATGATTTATATCATTCACTAGTTTACATTTGCCATAAAATCGTTTATCCGAAAATAGTTAAGTTTCATATAGCACTAAACCCAAGTTCTTAAATCACATATATTTAATAAAAAAAAATCATGTTTATTTAAGAAAAAATCAATCTGGAAAAAGTGGAAATATTTTATTTTTATTTGATGAAGAAAATTTGAAAATTTGAAAATAATAAAATATATTAATATAAACGGAATATAATATGAAAAGATAATTTTTTATTTTATATTTTATGTATTTGGTCTCATCTACAAAATATTTATATATTACAAGAGCTTTTAATTATTTCCTACACTGACCAAGAAAAAAAATAATAAATTATAATATATTACCTGTTCTTGCTATCAACATTCTTAATATTTTTCACTTTATAGTGGCTGATGGTCCAGTACTCAGAAATTTTATCGTCAGTTGGAGATTTAACATTTATCAAATTATCACCTTGTTTTACCGTAATAGTATTTATGATATCAGTTTCAATTTTTTCATTTTTTAGCAAACTTTCAATATTATCCAAATATGAAATATTCTAGAACAAAAAAAAAATTGTAATTTATTTTTACTATACTATAGATATTTTATTTACTTTTCTAATCGTTGTTTTTTTCTTATTCGATTTTACTTCTTTTTTGTTTTTACTCTGTTTGCTCGGTTTTTTGACTGGTTTAACCTCATTATCCATACTCTCATTATTAGAATCGTTCTGAAATTAAATAAAATTTGGTAACTGAAAATCTAGTAAAAATATATACACTGTACCTATTTATTTTAATTTGTAGATATAATATCAAACTAGCATAATTCAGTATTATACAAAAAAATAAAATATTGTATTTAATAATCTTCAAAATATAACTAATAAATATAAATTATATAAAAACATATTATTTTGTACTTACATCGCTTAGGATCATTGTCTCTTCGTCAGTGCTATTTAATGAGCTAACAAATGGCATTTTTAAAACAAAATTAAATATAGCTTTAAACAGTAGATATGTAGCTAAAATATATTGAGTGAATTTACTCTTGCTTCTTAAGTGTTTTGCTATTGACTGATCAATTTATAATTTAGCTGATGCATACTGAATGATTAATATGATATTAATCATATGAATAATTAATTCAGTTAATTTTCTCCTATATAACTTTAATCCTCATATATATATATATATATATATTCATAATTATCTTATTCTGCTATATTATTACGTAACTATAATTTGTATTTTATTATTATTTTGTATTAGCAGAATATTTTGTTCTGCTGTTGTTTTTTATTGTTATATTTATCACATTGATGTGCTATGTAGATAATATGATTCTAATAATTACATTATCGAATAATAGTTTCAGATTAACGACAATATTGGTATAATATGATTCTAATAAATACATTATCGAGTAATAGTTTCAGATAAACGAGAATTGGTATAAAGCCGGGTTTACACACAACAATAAATTGTAACGATTCAACTTATCGTTACGATTCACAGAAATTGATGCTGATCGACATCAATCATGTTCAATTCAAATAATCGCTACACCGCCTGGTGCCTATGATAATAGGAATTACAGTAGCGCGCGACCGATAGTCGTCCGTTAATATATAATATATATCACTACTCATATGAATATTTATTAGAATACACCAATTAAGAATATTGTAATTAAATATTGTAGTGACCTTCCGCTGTATATGTGAGAATATTGAGTGGGAACAATGGCCATCGATCGAGTCGATGAGATACGTAAAGAGAGTATCCCTAGACAGACGAACAGCCACCACCAGATAGCTAGAAGTCACATCTCGCTAGAACACTTTACATTCTATTTTAAAATAGTCATTTAGACTTAACAGTTTTTTGAAGTGTGTATTAAATAACATCCTTCTGTAACACATTATATCGAACAACAGTCTCACAAAATGTTATATTTCAACTTCTCAAAATAACAATGTAAGTACATATCATTAGTATAGATATTATTTTTACAAAAAAATATTAATATAGGTAGGATATGTTAACATTAAAAAATAAAATAAAAGCTTACACAGTAATATTACTGTAATAATTTTGTTTAATTTTAATAAATATTTATTATTTACAGTTTTTAAAAAAAAAAATGAAATCAGCTAGCACTATTTATAGGAAAATAGAAGCCGATGTATTAAAGCGAGAAGAAAATCAAAAATTTGAATATGAAGAAGAAATTAAACATAAACAAAAAATTAAACAATTTAATAAACAAATTAAAAAAACTAAGTCAAAATCAGTAAAAACAGAATTAAGTTTAAAAAAACAAAAATTAATAGATGAATATAATGATTTTGAATATCAATCCTTATTAAATGATTTAAATATACGCAGTAATTTAGATTACCTTTACAAACAATTAGAGTATGTAAATAAAAACTAGTATATTCGTAAAAAACTTTATCTATACAAACAATTATAATATGTAAATACAAACTAGTATATTCGTAAAAGCTTAAGCTCAACATGTATATACACAACATGTAGGGTATAAGTTATGTTCCACAGAAGCGATTGTAGGTTCGTACGTTAGATCTATGTGTGTAGATGGCAAGGTTCCAGAGATCTTCCTAACCGGAGGGTCCAGCGTTACGGGTGTATCGCACCTTCGTTGCTGCCCGTCTCGCTTACCACTATCATGATCTGACAACACGTTCCTATGATCCGAATCCGATCATGCTCGGTGGCTGTGACGTCGTTGAATTACATACTTAAATTATATTTTTTGTTATGTTCTGATGAAATAATAAGTAAAACATATACTACTATACCTTTAAATATCTAACAGAATAATAATATCTGAATCACTTAAGAATATATACCTATACCAAAATTGTGAATAAACAGTAGTAAAATAAAATAAGAGATATTCCAATGTTTTATTTTATTTTATTAAATATATTGATTAATAAATAAATATTAACATTTACAGTTACAAAATAAAATTAATAAAAATGGAATCTGTTGCAAAGGAAACGTACCTCAAACGAGAAATAGAAGAAAGTTATGAGCAATTGGAAACGACGTTTGACGAAGAAGATGAAGATGAAAATTTGTATAAAAACAAAATTAAAACAATTAACCAAAAAATTAAAAAACTAAAATATGAAAAAAAAAACTCAAACTAGAATACAAAGATTCGCAATATGAATATTATAAATGTAGACAAAGAATAAGGAATTCTATACATTCTCTATATACCAAATTAGAATGTTTGAATATAGATTAAGATTTAAGACTAATATGTATTAATAAATAATATTATTATTATTATTATTATTATTATTATTTTTTTTAAATTTATTTACAGTTACATAATGAAAAGAAATACAATCACTAAACGTAGACGGATGGAATCAGCTGAGGGCGGACTTGTTGAAATTGAACGATTTAAAAGCTGTTCGAGAACGTATATTGTTAAGAATAAGGAAGAAATAATAGACTACCATGTATTTTTTAGTTATGTTTCTGAAATGTTAATTTCTAGGTTAACACAATCAAGCCAGCAGTCAACAATTAAATTTAATTTACATGTTGATAGCACGTATGAACAACTGTTAACGGGTGAAGTACAAGATATGTCGTTTAAAACTTCAAACGTATTAGCATATAAATCATCCGATTTTAATAGTTTATTAAACAAAATGTTTAACAAATTATTATCTGAGGAAGCACAGTTTATATCAAAAAAATCAGGTTGGTCACTAAAATCTATAGATTGTTTACAATTACGAATTAATAAAGTTAATCCTCTTAAAGGAGGAAGTACATATTTAGATTTACCAAACCATATAAAAAAAAAAAAGCAGTTATATACATAAAAATAACGATAACGAATGTTTCAAGTATTCAATACTAACTAAGTACAATAATCGATTGAATAAATCTAAGTTTAACAAAAAATATTTTGATATGTTAGAAACAAAAAGTGGGCTTAATTTTAAATGTATTGATTTTCCAACACCTATAACTCAGATAAAAAAATTTGAAAAAATAAACAATGTATCAATTAATATTTACAGCTTAGATAATAAAAATTTAATTTTCCCATTACATATAACCAATATTGAAAAAAAAAATCATTTCGACCTATTTCTATTTGATAATAATAATACATCTCATTATTGTTATATTAACAACTTCTCAAGATTTATTAGAAGTCAAAGGACTAAAAATTGTTCAAAGTTGATTATATGTAAGCGATGTTTTACAAGTTTTGGAAATAAACCGTGTAAAAGCAAACTTTGGGGTGAAACAGGATTAATTAGACATAAAGAAATGTGTATTAAAAATAAATTAGGAAGACCTATTATGTTCGAAGAAGGAGATGACGATTTCATATATTTCAAAAACTATAAAAATACTCAACGAATCCCGATTGTTATATACGCTGACTTTGAATGTATTTTAAACCCTAAACAACCTGATAAATTCATTCAAAGTAGTAAAAAACCAAAAACTTGTATTACACATTTACATAAACTTATGAGTTACGGGTTTTATGTAAAAGTCGACTATAATATTATACCAAAAAAATTAATAAAAAAGTTTGAAATTCCTAGAAAAGTAGTAATATATAGAGGTAAAAATGCAGCAAAAAAATTTATGAATAGTATGATTAGTATAGGAAATAAAATTAATGATATTTATAAAACTAATTTACCAATTAACAAATTAACTTTAAAAGAAGAAAAACATTTTCTGAAGGCTAAGGTTTGTGAAAAATGTTTAATACCTTTTAAAGATAATAATCTGTTAAAAGTTCAAGATCACTGTCATATAACTGGAAATTACAGACGATGTATTTGTGTTAAATGTAATTTTCAGCTAACTAGTCCATCATTTGTACCAATCTTCTTTCATAATCTGACATATGACAGTCACTTTATAATTCGAGAACTTGGGTGTAACGATAAAGATATTCATGTTATACCTAATTCATCTGAAAAATATATATCATTCAGTAAAGAAATCGTACCAAAATTTAACATTAAGTTTGTTGATACATACCGTTTTATGGCTGAAAAATTAAGTAAACTAGCAAAAAATTTATCCGAAGATAAATTGAAGTTTAGAGAAACTATTAAAGTATTTTCTATTAAAGTATTAGATCTAGTTACTCGAAAAGGAGTCTTCCCGTATGAATATGTTGATAGTTGGAGTAAACTAGATGAACCTTTTTTACCTTCAAAGCTTGATTTTTAAAGCTCTTTATCCGATGAATATATTACTGATGATGATTATGTTCATGCGAAAAATGTATGGAACATTTTTAATATAAAGACATTAGGTGAATATAGCGATCATTATTTAAAAACTGATGTTGCTATACTAGCTGACGTGTTTGAAAATTTCAGAGACTTATGTTTATCTAGTCTTGAGTTAGATCCTGCTCATTATATGACTGCTCCAGGATTTGCGTATGATTGTATGCTTAAATATACAAAGATCGAATTAGAAAGGTTAAAATGCTCTAATATGCTTTTGTTTATAGAGAATTCAATTCGTGGTGGGATAACTCAATCGACTAAAAGGTTTGCTAAAGCAAACATACCAAATATCAAAGGATTGAATTATAATTCTATCGAACCGATTAAATGGATAACATATCTTGATTGTGTAAATTTATATGGAAAGTCTATGTTGACAGAATTACCTTTTAAAGATTTTGAATGGGTTGATGACTTAAACATAGACGTAACTAAAATTGCTGATGATTCTGAAGTTGGGTATATATTAGAAGTCGATATCGACTACCCAAAACATTTACATAAGACTCATAATGATTTCCCGTTTTTACCGTTGAACGAATGTCCACCAAATTCTAAAGTTAAGAAATTGTTAACTACACTATTACCGAAAAAAAACTATATTGTTCATTATAAAAATTTAAAACAAGCGATTTCTCACGGTCTTAAACTTGTAAAAATTCATCGAGCTATCCGCTTTTCTCAAAAGAAATGGATGGTATCGTACATTGAATTCTGTACTAAAATGAGAACAGAAGCTAAAAACGAGTTTGAAAAAGAATTCTGGAAGCTTTTAATTAATAGTGTTTTTGGAAAATGTATGGAAAATGTTCGAACAAGAACTTCTATAAAACTGGTTTCGTCAGAAAAAAAAGCTAATAAATTAATGGCGAAAACTAATTTTAAGGATAGAACTATATACTCTAAGAATCTTATGGCTATTCATCAACATAAGGAAACTATTAAATTCGATAAGGCGATTTATGTAGGATCAGCAATTTTAGACGTTTCGAAAACTTTTATGTATGATTTTCATTATAATGTAATGAAAAAGAAATATGGTAAACAAATTAGTTCTTTATATTCGGATACAGATTCATTGATATATTCTATTCAAACAGTAAATTTTTTCGATGATTTAAAAAATGATTTATTACCATATTTTGACACATCTAATTATCCTAAAGACCATTATTGCTTTAGTGAAATTCATAAGGGCCAACCAGGAATGTTCAAAGACGAACTTAAATCAATAATTCTTAAAGAATTCGTTTCTTTGAGACCGAAATTATACGCTTATAAAACCATAGATGATACTGTAGAAAAAAAAGCAAAGGGTGTAAAAAAATATATAATAAAAAACCATATGAAATTTATTGATTACATAGAGATATTAAATGCTTTTATAACCCATAAATCTGTTGAGGAAAAACAATCTCATAGAAACATGAATTTCATTCAATCGAATAAACATGTTCATTCGAAAACAATGAACAAGCTTGTTCTCAGTGCCAATGATGATAAAAGATATATAATGAATGATGGGATAAATACATTGGCGTATGGGCATTACAAACTGACAAAATAATTTAATTAATACGTAAAAAAATCTTTATTTAAAAAAATATGTGAACAAAAAAAACTTATACATAAAAAATTTTTATTTTAAAATATCTGATGAAGTTATCCAAGAATTTTGACTTGAATCAAAACCTAACCATTTAACAAGTATTTTATTCCCAACTTTTTTTATAATACGTTCAACGAGGAAGGTGTCTGGGAAATCAGTTAATTTAATTTCTTGCTCATAAAAACCACCTAAGATGATATTGTCTGATCCATCTTTTAGTTGATAAGTTACTGGATTTGTCTGTAAAACTTTTGAAACTGTAAATATTTCTGTTGTCCAATTTGGTGTATATCCTTTACTAAATATATGTTTATACTTAGATATTCTTACTTTGTCATTAACTTTAAATTTTGGTTTATATAATGAATCATTTATTTGTATATTAAATTTAATATTGCTTGTACCCATTCGAGCTTCATTCGGTGTACATTTGATTGTTCTATGTTTTGTATTATTATAATTTTGTATAATTTAGTTTTGTATATATATTATTTTTCAGAGTTTGGATCACACGTTCACAAATTGAACATTTAATAACACTGTATGAACTGTAGTGTCTAATTTTATATTTTTTCATTAAATGTTGAAATTGAATATTATAAAATTCTGTACCATTATCTGTCTGTAACAACTTCGGATGTGCTTTTTTCAATATATTAAACATACCTTTTGTACATTCCTTCGATGTTTTATTTTTCAGTGCCTCAACCCATACGTACTTACTATATGTATCTATGACTACTAAAATATACTTAAAACCATAATTTTGTCTAGAATGAGATTGCATATCCATTAAATCAGCTTGCCATAGATCATCAATAAACCGTGTTACCACATTACGTCTAGGAAATATTTTTCTTGCTGGTCGATGTAGCTCATCAGCTATATTCTCTAATATTGTCATTAGACTATAATATTTCTCTCACGTAATTCTTCTAAAATAGATATAATTTCATTATTAACACCTGTATTACCAACACTTTTTGATGATGTTAAAAGATGTAATCTAGTTACTAGCTCATTCGGATCGTCATAATAAACTAATTGTGTTTGAGATACTACATCTTTATATAAGCCAGAACCTTGCTTAGCGTGCGGTGATGAAGTAAAATTAAACATATTTTCAACTGTAGGATTTGTAACCATAGAACTGTTTGCTGTGGGATTAAAATCAAATGGTTCATTTGATATTGTTGTATTGTCATGAACTTTACTACGTTTACGACTAGCTAAATTATCGTTAAATTGTGACAAGTTTAATCGTGGAGTTTTGGTGTTGTTAATTTTAGCTATTTCTTCGTTTATCAGTTTTTCCTCATTTTTCATTCGTTCGTACAAAGGTTTTACAACAGTTGCCCATTTGTGAAACTTTGAGGTTTTAGGTTTTCCATCTGCTTTTAAATGAACACGTGAAGTTTTCAGAATATCGTAATAAGATTCCATATCTTTTATAGTTGGATTTTTTGGTTCTTTCTCACATAATAATGACCATAGTCCTAAAGTCCATGGATAGTATCTATTAAGCAATTGTAAGTTACCATGACTAAAAGTTACGATGTGATCTCCTATTTTGTACGATCCACTAGCATTATCATAATGCATGCCATAGGATTTATCATAACGTTTTAATGTAGGTCGTTTATTAAAAAAATTTGCAAATGATGAATTTAATTCACCATCATCTTCGTCACTTGTACACGAGGCTTCAGAATTTTTTTGATCAGCTGGTTGTGAGTTACATGGGATATTTTTTTCTCTCCGTGTACTCAGTGGTTCGATTATTGGTTTAAATACATCACGGTAATAGTTGTCAGAATCTATAATACCACGTTTCATTTCCATTATTTTTCGTTTAATATTTTTTTTCGATTCTATTAAATTTTCTAACAAAGCTTTTTCTTTGTTCATTTTAAATAATAAATTCGATATAACTGTAACGTATGACTCCTGATCACACTATGTAGATAATAACTGTGTTACGGTATTTATATATAATATAAATATATAAAGTATTTTCTTAAATAATATTAAGGTTTACTTATAATTTACAATATCAAACAACAACTAATTTCAGTACTTATTTAATTTTAATAAATGTATGAAAACTACATCTATATCTTCCTTCATTCATTTCCCGAGTCTTGTCGATAACCATAAACCCATAATCACTGTGATTCCAGCATAAATGAGAAATTTTCCAAAATTCAGTGAAATCCATATCTGCAGACGAATGATCGTTGAATATATGTCGTAAGTTTGTATCATCTTGTTTCTGTATTATTAAAAAGTTTGCGTTATCTCTTACTAACTTTTTCGATATTTTAGAATATGTTTGTGCTAAATAAAATACAGAGCTAGCACCTGAATGTCTACCAATGTTAAAGTAATCTCTGATTACAGATTGCGGACCACATATAACATCATCAAAAATTATAATGGAATTTTTCTTAGTTAAGTTCGGTTTTATAACTTTATCGGCGCTAGTAAATATGTACATATTAGCACCTTGTATATCATCTATTATTTTTTTTAATAAAACATATTTTTCCTGATTAGAGGTTTTAGAGTACAAATAAATGTTTTCAAATCTTAAACCGATTTTGTGGGTGATCAGATTATACATTATATTTGTTTTTCCTGAACCACTAGGACCCACTAGTATAGCACGTATAGTATCAGGTAATAACGAACCGTGTCTTGAAGGTTTTTTTACTATCTGAACATCTACATTTATAACATCTAATTTATCCTTCTGTTCAATCAAATTCATTTTATTTTTCTTATAAATACTCTAGAATTTTTCAATCGAGAATCAGTTATAGATGAAACGTTCAACTCGTAAGTGTAAATCAGACAAGACTGGTAAAGGATTTGTAAACTTCCTTATAAATAGTCTCCCGGTTGAAGCCCATGTTCCAGGCTATCAGTATTGTGGTCCTGGTACAAAATTAAAAAATAGGCTAGATCACGGTGATAAAGGAATAAACCCATTGGACGCTGCTTGTCGTGATCACGATATTGTATATGCAACGAGTAATAATTTAGACGATCGACATAAAGCTGATCAAGTGTTAGAAAATCGTGCTTGGGAAAGATTTAAAGCAAAAGATACTCCTAGAAAAGAGAAATTGGTTGCATACGCAGTAACAAACGCGATGAAAGCTAAAAGAAAAATAGGCATGGGTTGCAAAACTAAACGTAAACGTGTTATCAAAAAAAATGGTATGATAGCCGCGAAGAAAAAAAGAACCATAAAGAAAAATAATGGCGGTAAAAGGTTGATTTTTACACCAGGCCAGTCAGGAGGCGTTATTCCCTTAATACCTATATTTGCAGGATTGTCAGCTCTTGGTAGTTTGATGTCTGGAGGTGCTAGCGTGTATAACGTAATTCAAAATTCAAAACGAAAAAAAGGTAACGGTTTAAACAATAATTGGTCTAGGAAAAAAAACTGATGATCACGCTACCTGACAGACCGCTTACGTCCCAAGATATTATAAAATATGTTAAAAAGTTGAAAATCAATCACTTCCGTGGAGTCTTTTCACGTGATAAGTTACCTAAACAACCACATGCCATTGAATGTGGTATATTAAACTTAGACATATCTTCAGGTGATGGAAGTCATTGGGTAGCGTTTCATAAAAATAAAGATAAAGTTGTTTATTTTGATAGCTTTGGTGATTTACCTCCACCAATTGAATTACAGCATTATTTTAAACAGTTTAAAATAGTGTATAACTATTCTAACTATCAAGATTTCAACACATTCAACTGTGGTCATTTATGTCTTGAATTTTTACAATGTATGAATCTATTACATTAAGTTTGACTGGGAATTCGACTATATTATCTACAAATTATTTTCCGTCTCTAAACGTTTACGAGGATTCGGAAATAGCTTTGTTATGTTTGCAAACATACAATTTATTTCCAAATATAAATTCAGTTAATAACCGGTTGGAGATAGAAGTAATTCCTTCAAGAAGTAATAAATATATCCTAAAAACGTTTATATTTATTTTGGATGAAGGATGTTATGAAATTGAAGATATTAACAACAAAATCGCAAAAGAGTTATTCCACTTTAATAATGAATGTAGAACACAGCTAACATTCAACGTATCTATTGACCCCATAGATTTTAGAACATACATTAAATGCAATGGAAGACTAAAGTTAAATATTCCAAACAGTATAGCATCTATTTTTGGATTTGAAAAGAGAACCTATGAGCCAATGTATGAAGCCCATCGGTCGAGTAAAGCTGCTAATTTAAACACAATTAACTCTATAAAAGTAGTGTGCAATATAGCATATGGGTCATTCGACAATCAACTTCAAAGTCATTCAATATATGAGTTTTTCCCTAGTGGGAGAACAGGAACGAAGGTTATTCAATCTCCGCTAAACCTTATATATTACAGATTAAACAAAACAAATATTGATTCAATAACTGTACAGTTAGTTGATCAAAACAATAATCCGATCGATAACTTTAATGAGACATTGACAGTTGTTCTACATATTAAACGTCACGAGTCTCATTATTAAATTTGAATCTCAGATATCAGGATGTATGAGTCAGTTACTTTAAGTTTAACCGGAGACAAAACCATATTATCTGCAAATTATTTTCCGTCTATAAACCTTTACGAAGACTCAGAAATTGCTTTGTTATGTTTGCAGACATTTAATTCATTCCCGAATATCAACAAAGATAATAATAAATTTGCTATACAAGTAAACGACCATAATAATAATAATAATGATCGTTTATGGTGCTATATTAAACTGGAAGAAGGATGTTATGGAATTAAAGATATTAAACATCGAGTTATGGAGCAAATAAATATTTATAATGAAAAATTCAAAAATAAGTTAACATTCGACATTTCGGTTGATTCTAACGACTTCAGATCATACATAAAATGTAATGGAATACTACACTTTGAGGT